AATAGAAGAAAACTTCACAGATATTTTTTAAGAAGCAAACTTAATAGACATCAAATATATATAAAAAGGCAAAAGAAGGAAAACCAAGAAGAAATTACATATTTATTTGACGCGTATGCTAATCCGAAACTGTAGACTTCCAAACATATTTTTTAATCATGACTATACAATCAACACCTGTTCTTATGGCCTTTTATCATGTTGCCCCAGTCGAAAACTGGACATGTGTTAATGTAGTGGAGTATTATCGTTCTAAAATAGGGAAAAAGGACTTTAAAGAGGTGTTAGATCGTATAAAGAAAGATCTTCAAGAGATTGCAAATTCTAATTCCGATTTTGATACAATTCGCAAAAGAAAAGCACAAGAAATCATCGATAACTGGAAGGTATACGTTTTGTTCGGTTAGATATTGAGCTAGTTAAGAGATTAGTCCATACAGTGATGAACTGTTAGTTCGACGCTTAGCGCAAGCTGGGACTGTTAGTCTGCCAGTGATGAACTGCTAGCGCTAGTTCGAAGCTAGTGCAAGCTGGGACTGTTAGTCTACGGGGGCAATCTCTCGACACTTCCGTTTTATATCTTTATTGAAAAATATCATCCTACGGGTATTACTAATTTGTATTTTTTTTTGCCAAGGAATGGACTCTTTCGATGAAGAACCTGAAAAAAGATCAGCGAATCAATATTCAGGTAAGATTATAATCCGAAAGTTTATGCAAGAACAAAAAATATTGAATTATGTTTCAATTAGGTAGAACAACAAATACTTGCGTCTGGTGCCATAAACAGCCATTGTACAACTCTTGGAAAACGTCAAAATGATGATTCCGAAAAAACTCCCAAAGAAAAACGCCAAGATACAGGGGATAGAAAAACCATAAATGAGCCTGTGGAAATCACTGATGACCCGGAAAGTGATACACAAGCGATTAATACCGAACAAAATTTAGATAAAAAACAAGTTGAGGTAGGTTTCTATAATTAATCGATTATCAGAAAACATTTTTCAATTTGTTTTTTTATGACTTTCCTTAGGAAGAACTTGCGATACGGTATAGTTTCAGAGAACGAAAAGAAATAAACTATGCTGACGTTTCAGGCTCAGATATAGATCCATATCATGTAATTATCCTTGTTGCTTTTTTTCTCGTAATAAAAATATACAATTCTTATTATTCGTTATTTTGTTTTAAAATCTATTAAGTGTCAAGCATTTAGCTCCCTGCCAAACAACCCAGATTCTTCGATTATATCATTAAATAAGCCAATCATATCGGAAACAACATATAATCTAATTTCTACGCATATAATTTGTGCGTTCAACTCAACGTTACATTTGGTTAAGGAATCTGTCGAAGAAAGCTTATTTGAGAAGATTGAAAAGCTTCTTAATATGCGAAACAAACTAATTTTATCAAAGCAAATAATGCAAAAGCTTGAAACAATTTTTGAAGCAGATTTTTCGGAAATTTCTTTGAAAATAATAACAGAGACGGAAAGTGAAAAAATATGGAAAAAACTGAGGAATCACATTCCTTTTTTTCATTAGGCATGCCCTTCTCGATTTCATCGCAATGTTTAAAAATCTACCAAAGGTATTGAATCGGGATATGTCCGAAAGAACGTATATAGTTGAATCTATTTCACCTATTTTTCGATCTTTCAGAAATGCATTCCCTGAAGTTAAATACGAATGGATCGAGAAGGATGTTAGATCAGTGAAGGAAGCAGGAAGCATGTTTGCAATTAATATCAAGTCTCGGAAGACTGATCTCCTAGTTATAAGGCTCTCTGATGCAACTGAAATCTTACATGTTGAAGTTTCCGGCCCGCCTTTTAAAGCGGATAAAAAACACACGATCGGTGACATTAAAAAATTGCTAATGATGGCGGTTTGCAACCTTTGTAGAATCTTAGCAAACAATTTCGATTGTCCGATTCATTACGCAAAAAAAGTTAAATCGTATAGTATACAGGCAATTGGGGACAAATTAACATTATTTTCCGTATCACTTGTTGATAAGAAAAAATACTTAGCCATTGAATTAGCTTCCTGTGTAATTCCCTTTTCGTTCGAAGAAATTGGGTGTTATATAAAAATTTTTAAGTTTTTTGCTATTATAAGGAATGAGCTCAATGAACAAAAAAAACTTTTAAAAAAATTTCGTACTTTTGTGCCTTCTGTTGAAGATGATACCAGTAAACTACGAGAATGGATAGACTTACCGGAAGATAATCTAATACCTGTAACAGAAGAGGAAATGGATGAACTTTTTTTAAATGGTGAATGAAAATTTTTATCATACAATCTATTATTATTATAATAGGTTTCATTAGTTATAGAATTAATTTGTGAATGATTTCTTTACATGTAAAAATCTTATTTTCTCTATTACGAGTCAGTAATTTGATTCCAGCACATGAAACCATATTTTTAGTTTTATAATTACATGTGATAATAAATAGCATTTGAATAATTTGCATTTGTATAAAAGTTATCATTAAACATGCAATCCGATATTGATTTGTTAAAACAAGTGAATATCAAACTTACGGCCAGAATCACAGAATTAAAGCCGATCGCGAAAGAAAAAGAAAAGGTTGAGATCAGAATCATTGAATTAAAACAGACTAAAAAGTTAAATCAGACAGAAAATGCTGAACTCAAAGCTGAAATTGCAAAATTAAAACAAGATGTAGAACATGAATCTAAGAAAAACCGTAAATTTCAGGAAAAATGTATTTTAATAACTCAAGTATTGCTGGGAGAAGAGCCAATTATCGAATATTGCCCATCTTTTATGAGGGAATTAAAACTTGGTGCTTTCTTTCCGCGTCATCGAATTGCATTAGAAGTGCAAGGGGCACAACATCGGTTCTCCAAATCTCGACAGGCCATAATGCTGACATCATGCGATGTGACAATTAAAATTTAAAGCCTGACAATGATTGTTAATGTGATTACTAATTTTTAAATATTAATTGTCACGTCGGTTTCGAGATTTGGATGTCGGGATTTTGTGGTAGAATCCATAACATCGGATTCATAATACTTGCTGGTATAAAGATATCACAAAACTTTGAGGATATTGTTGACCGTGATTGGAAGAAAAGATGTCAATGTCAACTTAATGGTATATACCTTATTGAAGTATGGTATGATGAAAATCCAGAAATTACTATTCTTCAAAAGATATTATAAATATAGAGAATGTATTAATCGAAAAAATTTCGATCTCACATAATCAACGTGGCGGCTGAAGCTGAGATTGACTGAAGCTGAGATTGGGGATCTCTGTTAAATCTATAATACCTGCTAAAATTCACTTGTACTCTTTTATTAATAAAACTACCCTTAAACCCTGATGAAAAAGTCCCAAAAAGAAAAGAAAAA